TGGAACTCCTGATCTCAAGCGATCTTCCAACCTCGGCCTCCTAAAGTGTTGGATTACTGGTGTGAGCCACTGCTCACAAATTGGCCACTTATTAAATTCAGATTTTCAGGCTGGGAGCGGTAGCTCACATCTGTAATCCCAGCTGAGGTGAGAGGTTTGCCTGAGCCCACACGTTCGAGACCAGCCTGGGCAATTTGGCAAGCCCTCATCTCTACACAAATCAAGAAAAGTTAGCTGGGTGTGGTGACGCGTGCCTGTAGTTCCAGCTACTTGGAAGTCTGAGGTGGATCACCTGAGCCCAGCAGGTCGAGGCTGCGGTGGGCGTGAGCGTGCCACTGCCCTCTAGCCAGGGCGACAGAGTGAGACTCTGACTCAAAAAAAAATTCAGATTTTCTTTTTTGAAACAGAGTCTAACTCTGTCATCCTGGCTGGAGTGCAGTGTTACGTAACTCCTGGGCTCAAGCAATCCTTTTGCCTCAGCCTCCTGAGTACCTGGGACTGCAGGCGTGTGCCATCACTCCCAGCTAACTTTTGTATTTTTTTGTAGAGATGAAGTCTGGCTATGTAGCCCAGGCTGGTCCTGAACCCTGGGCTCAAGCGGTCCTCCCACCCTGGCCCCCCCAAAGTGTTGGGATTATAGGCATGAGCCACCATGTTGGGCTAAATTCAGATTTCTGAATGAGGGATTGCTTTGTTTAAAAAATCCTGTGAGAGTTGGGATGTTTCTGTGTCATCAGAGCCCTTTGTCACTTAACATTGCCATGATCAGGCACATTTTGGTTGAGCTGGTTTGGCAGGCTTAGGCAAGGGCAAAATGCCTTGACAGGGCACCAATGCTGGTGGTAACTGAAACCGTGTCTCAGGATGGCGAATCGTACCTGGCATTTTCTCGTTATATGGTGGCAAGAAATCTTAAAATGAAAATCACGGAAAATAAAGGAGAACACAGTTTTGCGTTTGTGTTTCGAGTTCAGTGACCTTTTTAAGGGACTTCCTGGTATTCAAAAAAACTTTTCCCTGAATCTTTGTATTATTTGGTTATAAAAATATTCATGTGAAAGGCATTAATTAGGTGCATTGTAATCTTTTCAGGTAAAGTGAACAGAGCATCTGTGACGTTCCATCAGGCACCTATGTAAGGAAACTGGACTGTCACCACTCACCATGGCCTATGGCTTGCCAAGGAAGAACACAGTGAAAACCATTCTGCGGGGCAGCTGTTACAGTGTGTAAGTATTTTTATCAGGGTAAGCATTGACTGGGGTGGGCAGTTCTTTCTTAGTGAAAATACTGAACATCCTATGAAAATACCCCATGAGATACTGGACTGTATCAAGTATCTTCAGGCGAGTTTGGATATTGACTTTTTTTCTTTTTTCCTTTTTTCTTTTTCTGAGACAGGGTCTTTCTGTTTCCCACGCTGGAGTGCAGTGGTGCCACTATAGTTCAGTGTAGCCTTGAACTCTTGGGTTCAGGCAATACTTCTGCCTCAGCCTTTTCCTCAGGAGTACACCACCACACCAAGCGAATTTAAATGTTTTGTTTTTTAAAATTTTTTGAGTCGGAGTCTCATTCTGTTGCCCCGGCTGGAGTGCAGTGGCATGCGCACGGCCTATGCAGCCTTGACCTACTGGGCTCAGGTGGTCCTTCCACCTCAACCTTCCAAGTAGCTGGAAACACAGGCATGTGCCACCACGCCCGGCTAATTTTTTGATTTACTGTAGAGATGAGGTCTTGCCACGTTGCTTAGGCTGGTCTCGAACCCCTGAGCTCAGGCAGTCCTCTCACCTCCACCTCCCAAAGTGCTAGGATTTTATTGTGCCTGGCTAATTTAAATGGTTGTTTTTGTTTTTGTTTTAAAGCAGGATTTATTAAGAGGACAGAAAAGCTCCCACAGTGGGAGGGGACCTGAGGGGGTTGCCCTACGTGTTTTTTTTTTAAATTGAGATGTAATCTTGTTTCTGATCTCAAAATTCTGTGCTCAAGTGATCCTCCCACCTCAGTCTCCCAAAGTGCTGGGATTATAGGCATGAGCCACTGCACCCCACATTGTTTTAGAAAGACAATTGCTTTTATAAGGATATATTAATTATCTTACTTGGTCTTTACAATAAAACACTTTCTTTTTTTTTTTTTTTTTTTGAGTTGGAGTCTCACTCTGTACCCCAGACTGGAGTGCATTGGCCGCTCCTGGCCACCGCAGCCTCAACCTACTGGGCTCCGGCGATCCTTCCACCTCAGCCTTCCAAGTAACTGGAACTACAGGCGTGCGCTACCACGCCCGGCTAATTTTTGATTTATTGTAAAGATGAGGTCTTGACAAGTTGCCCAGGCAGGTCTTGAACCCACAGGCTCAGGCAATCCACTCGCCTCACCCTCCCAAAGCGCGGGATTACAGGCTGAGCCACCGAGCCCGGCTAATAAAACATTTTCAAGTAAGACACGTGAGGTTCGGAGATGTTTGATGAAAGTCATTGTCATGTAGTAAAGACATAACAGGGCTAGATAATTTGAATCTTCTTACTCCCAAAAAGCATTATCTGCTTCCGCCTACCATCTTAAAATACTTTGTCACGTAGTCCAGATCTACCTAGATATGCCTTGATGTCAGGTGTGTCTTCACGGAGCACTTCATTCATGGTGTGAAGGCTTTCGTTCTGCATCCTGTATACTTTGGCAGGCAGTGGACGGTCAGCGTGGGCTGTCCAAGCAGGAAGTCCTGGGCTCTGAACCTGGCCCTGCCCCCATCTGCCTCCTTCACTGTGCCTTGACCTCTACGTCTGTAAGATAGGTATAACAATACCTATCTACTAGGGGGACCCGAAATCAACAGGAATTATCTTTTGGAGGGCAAACCCTTATAGTCCAGGCTTCCCCCACCAGGTGTGTTCTAGGAACTCGTCGGCATCCGTGTACCAGCTAGCACTGGGAGAGGCTGCATTTGACTTCAGTGAGTTTTTTTTGGAGATTCTTTCAAGGCATTTGCCCATTTCATGAGGAGTGATTTATGAGTGCACCTACCCACACAGCGCTGAATGTTCAGCAGTTTTTGACCAAAATGGCATGACCTTCATGTCCCACTCTCCCTCCCTATTCACCCCACTTTGTCCCAGTGACTTATTTTTGCTTTTCCGATGAAAAAAGTCCTCAGAGGGTCACGTTTTGCCCATTTGGAAGAGGTGAAACAAAAAAATGGCAGAAGCACTCAAAGATATTAAAATGGATGAGCTCAAAAACTGTTTTGAGCAGTACAGTGTCTCGATTGCATCCAACAGAGAGTACTTTGAAGGTGACTGAGGTTTAAACATGTAAAGAAAAATATGCAATTTTTAATAAATAAATTCTGGGATTTTTGGGTCTCCCTGGTGGGTGGTGTGGATGATAAGCAGTGTGTGAAGAGGGCTTGCACACCACCTGGCACATCATGACCATGTGTTGCACCACACCATGGTTTCACTCCGGTTGTATGCTGCTGCCTTTCTTTCCCCTTCTAGATATCTGGACTTGTTTTTTTTTCATGAAGCCTTTTGTCACAGCTTTTGATATATTTACCATTATGAGTCAACTGAAATTTTCTTTTTATTTTTTAAATTATAAAGATGTGGGGTGCAATTCAGGGTTAGGAAGACAAACGTTGATAATGCAGGTGCACTTGTTGATGAGGTATGCCCCTCCCTCCCCTAGCAGTTTCTCTCCATTGCCAATCCCACCCTCCCTCCACCGAACAGTTTCCCACTACTGCCAATCCCTTTCTTATAGTATTATAATTGTTAAAGGTCTGCTTATGAGTGAGAACATATGGTACTTTGTTCTTTGTTTCTGTGATAGATCACTGAGTATGAGTGACTCTAAATCTACCCAAGTTGCTGCATAGTTCTATATGTTTGTCCTTCTTTATGGCTGCTTGATATTCCATTATGTATATATACCACATTTAAAAAAATCCAGTCCCGCTTCAATGGGCAGCATGGTTGGTTCCATGTTTTTGCTATTGTGAATAGAGCTGCAACAAACATTTGTGTGCAGGTATCTTTTTTGTAGAATGATTTGCTCTCTTCCCGGCATATTCCCAATAGGGGAATTCCTGGGTCACATGGAAGGTCAATTTCTAGTTCTTTCAGAAATTACCACACTGGCTTCCACAGAGGTTGCAGTAGTTTGCGTTCCCACCAGCAGTGTATAAGCGTTCCTTTTTCTCCACATCCTCACCAGCATCTGTTGTTGTTTGTTTTATTAAGAATGATGGGCATTCTTACTGGGGTTAGGTAGTATCTCAGTGTGGTTTTGATTTGCATTTCTCTGATAATGAGTGAGACTAAGCACTTTTTCATGTGTCTGTTGGCTGTCCGTGTATCTTCTTTTGAGAAGTGTCTATTCATGTCTCTTGCCCACTTTTTTTTTTTTTTTTTTTGAGCTGGAGTCTCACTTTGTCACCTAGACTGGAGTGCAGCGGCTGCTCCCGGCCACCGCAGCCTCCACCTGCTGGGCTCCGGTGATCCTTCCGCCCCAGCCTTCCAAGTAGCTGGAACTACAGGCGCGCGCTACCATGCCCAGCTAATTTTTTTTGATTTATTGTAGAGATGAGGTCTCACCAAGTTGCCCAGGTGGGTCTCGAACCTGCGGGCTCAGGCAATCCACTCACCTCAGCCTCCCAAAGGTGCGGGATTACAGGCTGAGCCACTGAGCCCGGCTTCTTGCCCACTTTTTAATGGAGCTGTTTGTTTTTTTCCTTTCGGTGCGTTTGAGTTCCTTGTAGATCCTAGATGTTAGGCCTTTGTCAAATATACAGTTGGAAAATATTTTTTCCCTTTCTGTGGGCTGTCTACCTGCTCTCTTGATGGTTTATTTTGCTTTGCAGAAACTTGTCAGTTTGATGAGGTCCCACTTGTCTATCTTATTTCTTATGGTATGGGCACTTAGGCTTCTGATCTGAAATTTTCTTTTTAACAATATTCTAAGTAGTATTCTCTGTGGGGTTATAAAACCAGAGCTAGAGGAAAATCAGAGAAAACTCACGGTGGCATTTTGTTTATTTTTGGCAATTTAGTATGTGTTCAGACTTTGAGCTACAAGCAAGTACCATTGTAGTAAATAGCATTATGAACATAATCTTTATATGTAGATATTCCTATTTCCAGAGAATAATTTAAAGGACTGATTTGGGGGTTTTGGTATGCAGAGTTTTATATCATGAATCATTTCTGCAACACGAGGGCTTTCTCTGTCCTTCTCCATCATTCTATCAAGAAAGTATTTGAGTTATACTAGGTGTAAGAACGGCCAAGTCCGCCAGGCTTGGTGGCTTAGCCTGTAATCCCAGCACTTTGGGAGGCCTTGGTGAGCGGATTGCCAGAGTCCGCAGGTTCGAGACCAGCCTGGGCAATTTAGCAAGACCTTGTCTCCATAATAAATCAACAAATTAGCTGGGCATGGTAGTGTGTACCTGTAGTTCTGGTTTCTTGGAAGGCTGAGGTGGAAGGATTGCCGGTGCCCAGCAAGTCAACATTGGGGTGCTGCTGCACTATTCCAGCCTGGGTGACAGAGTGAGATTCCAACTCAAAAAAAAAAAAAAAAAAAAGGCCAGGCTCGGTGGCTCAGCCTGTAATCCCAGCACTTTGGGAGGCAGAGGCGAGTGGATTGCCTGAGCCCACCGGTTCAAGACCAGCCCGGACAACTTGGCAAAACCTCTTCTCTACAATAAAAATAAAAGTAAAAATAAAAATAAATAAATAAAAAAAAGAATGGCTAAGTCAAGCCAAACAAGATGGTAGCAGACTCTTTGGAGTTCACTTGCCAAGGTAACTCGTTACCTTGGGCTTTCTTTTTTAGTTAAGTGTTTTTTAAAAGATTATAAAAGTAATATACAAAAAACATTCAAGCAGTACAGAAGCATATGAAAGGAAAAGGAGCCGTGTGTGGTGGCTCACACCTGTAATCCCAGCACTTTGGGAGGCCGAGGTGAGAGGATTGCCTGAGCCCAGGAGTTCGAGACCAGCGTAGGCAACTTGGTGAGACCTTGTCTCTATAATAAGTAAAAAAATTAGCTGGGCATGGTGGCGCACCCCTGTAGTCCCAGCTACTGGGGAGGCTGAGGCAGAAGGTTCGCCTGAGCCCAGCAGGTTGAGACTGTGGTAGCCGTGAGTGTGCCACTGCACTCTAGCCTGGGTAACAGTCAGACTATGACTTCAATAAAAAAAAAAGGAAAACGAAAACAAAATGCCCTCTCTTTTATCTCTATTCCCACTCCTGAGTCCTACTCAGGGGTAAAATATCTTATATTTTTCCTAAAATTTCTGCTGCTGTACAAGAAGCGCACCACTTTTTTTCTTTTTGGGTCAGATTCTCACTTTGTCACCCAGTCTAGAGTGCAGTGGCATGATCACGACAATCACGGCTCCTTGCAGCCTCAGCTTCCTGAACTCAGGTGATCCTTCTGCCTTGGCCTCCCTAGTTGCTAGGACTACAGATGTGTGCCACCATGCCTGGCTAATTTTATTTTTTTGAGTTGGAGTCTCACTCTGTCACCCAGGCTATATTGCAGTGGCACTCTCATGGCCACTGGGCTCAGGTGATCCTTTTGCTTCAGCCTTCCAAGTAGCTGGAATTACACGCACGTGCCACCATGCAGGCTAATTTTTTGATTTATTATAGAGATGAGGTTTCACCAAGTTGCCCAGGCTGATCTTGAGCCTGTGGGTTCAGGCAATCCTCTCACCTCAGCCTCCCAAAGTGCTGGGATTATAGGCATGAGCCACCACTCCCGGCCTAATTTTTTTATTTTAAGGTCTTGCTATTTTAGGGTCTTGCTATGTTGTCTAGACTGGTCTTGAACTCTTGGTCTCAAGCATTCTTCTCACCTCGGCTTCCCAAAGTGCCAGGATTATAGGTGTGAGCCACTGTGCCCAGCTCCATTCTTTTTAAATGACTCTTTTAAAAAAATTTTATAGAGACAGGGTCTTGCTATATTGTTCAGACTGGTCTCAGACTCCTGGCCTTAAGTGATCCTCCCACTGGGCCTGCCAAAGAGCTGGGATTATAGTTGTGAGCCACCACCACACTCAGCCCTCTGTGTGTGTGTGTGTGTGTGTGTGTGTGTGTGTGTGTGTGTGTGTGTGGTGTAATACAAGCAATGATTCAATGAACATTCTTATAAATGCGTCTTTGTGACTCGTTCAAGAATATCTGTAATAATTGTAGACTTTAAGTCACTTCTGTAAATTGGAGTGTCAAGAGGGTGGAGGAGGCAGAGGGTGGCACGTGGTAAAACAGTCATTTCCCTGCTCAGGCCAGAGCTGGTCACCGGTCTCTCACTTTCTTCACGCACATGAGGCTGAACTTATCCTGACTGCAGACGAGAAGCATGTCATTGATACTTGTTATTTCAGAATTAGGCAAGATAGAACAATATTTAAAGGGTTCTCACTGGTTAATTTTTAATGTTGTAGTTTGGAATCATGTTGCCTTTCCCAGATCCCATGCCAAGCACCCTGCTCAGTACATGATTCTTTCCTTCCTGAATGTGACCATATATTTTTTTTAATCAAAAAAATTTTATTTTGTAGAAACAAGGTCTTGCTATGCTGCCCAGGTTGGTCTCAAACGCCTGGACTCAAGTAATCCTCGCGCCTCAGCCTCCCAAACTGCTGGGATTACAGGTGTGAGCTACCGCGCTTGGCACTTTTCTTCCTTAATGTGACCATATTTTTGATGAGTTGTAACAACTTTGGAGCTTAAGTTCTTATCTACATCTTCTTACATAGAAAGACTAGATTGACTCCAGGGAGGTTGCATTGTGAACAAAAGTTCCTGACATCATTTCTGGTCATTGTTCAGTATCTCTCTGCATTAGTTAATATACAGCTCCTCCTCCTGGCTAGAGATGCAACTCTAGAAACTCCTGACGAACCCCTCTGTAAACCAAAATGTCTAAGGACAAATGGAGCTGAGAATTAATACTATGCCTTCTTTATATCACACAGTAGGTGCTTAATAAATATTTATTGAATGAATTAATGAATTTTTGCCCCAGACAGGAACCTTGGGATCTTGCACTGCTTACAAAGACCTGGTACACGAACCTAGCCAAAATAAAGTTGCCTTTCTTGCAAGAAATTGCATTTGGCAGGTCTATGAATCTCACAAAATGTAACACCACGAAGGATGGTCTGCTGCCTTCTACAGAGTGTAAGTTCCTGAAGTTCTGCTTTGATATTATATATTGTGTATCATCGCTTATTATCAGAGAACATTTTTTTCTTTTTGAGTCTCACTCGGTCACCTAGGCCAAAGTGTAGTAGTGCAATCATGGCTCACCGCAGCCTTGACCTCCTGGGCTCAGGTGATCCTCCAGCCTTAGCCTCCCAAGTAGCTGGGACTACAGGCATGTACCACCATGCCCACCTAATTATTTTATTTTTTTGTAGAGATGAGGTCTCACTATGTTGCCTAGACTGGTCTTGAACTCCTGGGCTCAAGCAGTCCTCCTGCTTCAGCCTCCCAAAGTGTTAGGATTACAGGTGTGAGCCACTGCACCTGGCCCAGAGAAATGTTTAAATTTGGGTATTCATACCCATACCTCCTTTTTTTTTTTAGGTCAGGGTTTCACTGTGTTGCCCAGGCCACAGCGTAGTGGCACAATCATGGCTCATCATGACCTTGAACTCCTAAGCTCAAGCAATTCTCCCACCTCATACTCTCACCATGCCTTGCTATTTTATTTTTATTTTTATTTTTTTTAAGAGACAGAATCTTGCTGTGTTGCCTAGGCTGGGCTCAAACTCTTGGGCTCAAGCAATCCTCCCTCCTTGGCCTCCTAAAGTGATGGGATTGCAGGTGTGAGTCACTTCACCCAGCTTTCCCTCCTATCTTTGTGGTCCTGTCATCTTGTTTATTATTCAAGAATGTGGATTTTGCTGTACGCTGGTCTGTTTTGACTGACTTGTGCCTGATGGAAAATGCCTGTCAGATTGCATTGTGTATTTTATCTTTCAGCCATAAAACTTGAAAAGGACTATGAAGTGAAGCGGCTCACTAAACTTAAATGTCAAGAAAATGCATCGGAGGAAATTCAGCTTCTCCTGAGGGAAAGGCAAGTTGGCTTGAGGAGACCACTTCCGCCGAAGTGATGGATGTCTCATGGTTGAATCTGGACCGTGTCCCGTAACCCCAGGGTTGGCGCTCTCCGTATCCTTCACCATGGAGAGTCTGGTGCACGCAGGTGGAGGCTGTGTCCATAGACGTGGTTTAGCAGCCGGCTCTGACAGACCTGCTGCGTCCCTGCCACGTGCTTGTTCCTTTGTGTCCCAGGCAACAGCACTGTAAGTAGACAAAAATGCAAATGCAGTGGAGTCCTCTGTGCTGTTCATTCTGATTTTTGTAAGAGAGACAGGAAACTTTCTGTCAGAGGCATTATTTTGAAGAGACACTTTGAATTTGTATCTTTGAGATCCCAAGGGGATATTAATAAAATATACTTTGTGTAAGATGTTTATCTGCCAACCAGAAGCCCGCCCCAAGTTTCTTGGCTGCAAGTCTGGGGAGCTGGAATTTTCCCTGGGTTTCCCAGTTCCACCCCGACTCACCCCTCCTTTACATACTTGTTCTTTCTTATTTGTTCTTTCTGTCATTTTGACTAATATTTTCCCCACTTTGACTATTATCATAAATATGACAGCTGGATTGTTAATTGGTAAACGTGAAAAAAGATCATTTTATAATTACACAACCAAAGATCAGTCTATAGCCAATGATTAGTGTGTTTTTATTTCTCTGGAAATCAAAACCAATTCACTGTTTTCTTAAAAAAAAAAAAAAAAAGAACAGTGTCCAGCTGTGTCAATATGTGTTTTGGATTGTGATGAGATTTATGCTGTATGTTTATTTTTGTCGTTCACATTCCACTGAGTGGCCTCTACCCTCCCTTTTGGGGTCACTGTCACTAATCCATCTGGTCCCAGTGATAATACGTCCAGAGTTTCTTTGAAAATTGTAAATGTTTCCTAAGCTAAAGCCCACTAAGCTACTGTGTAATGCGTCTGACATTGTTGCTGTTAGTTTTAATTTCTTTTTTTTCCCGGAGTCTCACTCTGTCGCCCAGGCTGGAGTGCAGTGGCATGCTCATGGTCACCACAGCCTCAACCTGCTGAGCTCAGGCAATCCTTCCACCTCAGCTTTCCAAGTAGTTGGAACCACAGATGCATGCCACCATGCCTGGCTAATTTTCTTTCTTTCTTTTTTTAAAAATTTATTGTAGCGATGAGGTCTCACCAAGTTGCCCAGGTTTGTCTTGAGCCCCTGGGCTCAGGCAATTCTCTCACCTCCACCTTCCAAAGTGTTGGGATTATAGGCGTGAGACTTTTTTTAAAATTTATACTCCACGAGTCCTGTTTATTTATCATATGGCCTCCTACACATACAGCAACTTAGACCAGTCTCTGGCCAAGAAAGAAATACCATTCATTGAGCAATTATTATTCTTCCAAATTTCTTCACTGTCATCGAGCAAGAATTTGTTTTTAAGAACAGTAGTTCCCTATGTCCTCACCACTCATTTCTGCCTCTACAGCTAATTTCTCCTCTTTTACCTACTGTGAATTTACCTCCATGTCTCTAGTAACACACTGGTATAGCTACTTCTCGGTTTTTTTCTTTTTAGGCATACTCTGCTGACTTCCTGGGATAGACGAGAACATTTCTTTCCCTTAATCTCACCACACATAACATTTCCTTCTCCCTTTAAACATATTAAGTGTTGACAATATTATGACCATGTGTCTTTGTTTATTCAGGCTGATAAAACAAAATACCATAAACTGGGTCACGTATAAACAACGGAAACCTTATTCCCACAGCTCTGCAGAATGGAGAGTCCAGTTTTGAGGAGTTAGCAGATTCAGTGTCTGGTGAGGGCCTTCTCTTCATGGACGGTGACTTCTGGCTATGTCCTCACGTGGTGGAAGGGAAGAGTAGCTCTGCGGCTTTTTTTAGAAGGGTGCCAATCCCATTCATGAGCGCTCTACCTGTGTGACCTCATCATCTTCCAGAAGTTCTTATTATCATCTTTTTTTTTTTTTTTTGAGTTGGAGTCTCACTCTGTCACCCAGACTGTAGTGCAGTGGCCGCTCCTGGCCATTGCAGTCTTGACCTGCTGGGCTCCGGCGATCCTTCCACTCAGCCTTCCAAGTAGCTGGAACTACAGGCGCGCACTACCACACCTGGCTTATTTTTTGATTTATTGTAGAGATGAGGTCTCACTAAGTTGCCCAGGTGGGTCTCGAACCCGCAGGCTCAGACAATTCACTCACCTCAGCCTCCCAAGGTGCGGGATTACAGGGTGAGCCACCGAGCCCAGCTTTTTATTATCACATTGAGGGTTAGGATTTCAACTTGTGGATTTTGGGGGGACACATTCAGACCAGAGCATTATGTCAACATTTCACAACTGAGTAGTAAACTATTATTAATTTTTCTTTCTTTCCACATTTTTTTTGCAGGATTTAGAAATTTATTAATTGGATTTAGCAATTGTTTAGTTTTCAATTTACTTATGTGAAATGTATTATTATTAATTAATTAATTTATTTATTTTGAGTCGAAGTCTCACTCTGTCACCCAGGCTGGAGTCCAGTGGCATGCTCACAACTAGGACAGCCTTGACCTGCTGGGCTCAGGCAATCCTTCTGCCTTAGCCTCCTGAGTAGCTGGAACCACAGGTGCACGCCAGCGCACCTGGCTAATTTGTTGATTTATTGTAGAGGCAAGATCTTGTCAAGCTTCCCAGGCTGGTCTTGAACTCCTGGGCTCAGGCAATCTTCTTGTTTCGGCCTCCCAAAGTGTTGGGATTACAGGTGTAAGCTACCATGCCTGGCCTAAATACATTATGTGTTTATTAATCCCAAGCTCTTTGCTGGTTGTCAGTCTTTGCAAGGCATTCTGATGTATTCTATGATGTCATCTCTCTGAGAAGTACTCAAGAAGTCTTGTCCTGCTTTAACCTGGACTGTTTATTTTCATATTTGGAGCAAACTCTCCTTCTATGATTTCCACATTGCCATCCTGGGAGGGGGTTCACTTCACACTCTTCTGCGTAGATATCTCTGTTTCCTATGTGTTTGGTCATCCTCTTTCTTGATTTACTTCTTTATTTTGGTGGAGTGTATGCTATAGTAGTTAACTGAAAAAGGATACATACAAGGGAGGAGAATGTTTGAGGTCTTATTGTCTAAGTCCTTTATTCTCAGATGTCATCAATAGCTCAGCTGGGTATAGAATTGTAAGTTGTAAATGATGTTTCTTTTTTTTCTTTTTTTGAGTTGGAGTCTCACTCTGTCACCCAGACTGGAGTGTGGTGGCCACTCCCGGCCACTGCAGCCTCGACCTACTGGGCTCTGGTGATCCTTCTGCCTCAGCCTTCCAAGTAGCTGGAACTACAGGTGCACACTACCACGTCTGGCTAATTTTTGATTTATTGTGGGGATGAGGTCTTGCCAAGTTGCCCAGGTGGGTCTCGAACCCGCGGGCTCAGGCAATTCACTCACCTCAGCCTCCCAAAGCACGGGATTACAGATTGAGCCACTGAACCCGTCTATGATATTTCTATAAAATTTTTATGACTTGGTTAATTTCTTTTTAGTCTTTATTATTGTTAACATTCTGAGGTTGTCTTGACTCTGGATCCTTCCTGAGATCTGCTTTTTCTCTCTGAAAGTGTATGGCATCTTTTTCTAAATCCCAGCATTCTTTTCTTTTCTTTTTTTTTGTGTGTCCAAGTCTCACTCTGTTGCCCAGACTGAAGTACAGTGGCATGCTCACAGCTACCACAGCCTTGACCTGCTTGGCTCAGGTGATCCTCCTGCCTCAGCCTTCCGAGGAGCTGGAACTACAGGTGTGCACCACCACGCCTAGCTAATTTTTTTTTTAATTGTAGAGTTGAGGTCTTGCCAAGTTGCTCATGCTGGTCTCAAACCCATGGGCTCGGGCAATCCTCTCACCTCCACCTCCCAAGTGCTGGCTAGACCCCAGGATTCTGATAGAAATCATATGTAAGTCTGTTCACATCCAGTGTAGCATAACAATTTAGCACAAGTTATTTAATTTTTCCTGGCTTTAATTTCTACATTTGTTAAAAAGTGGGCAATATTGGTTTTGACAAGTAAATGAAAAGTAAAAGTAACACCGGTTGTATTAACTGCTCTTACCATTGTCTGCTGAACTTGACATAACTCTTAACTCTTACAACCTGGAAACTCATGGCCCTAGGACATTATCTTAAATTATTTTGTGGGTATTTTCATTTTCTCTGTACTTTCTAGAAGTGCTGTTATTCGTGTGTTAGACCCTCTCTTCTGGTTTTCTAATTTTTTATCTGTTTTATTTTTATTTTTTAGTGGGACTCTCACTCTGTCACCCAGACTGGAGTGCAGAGGCATGCTCCCGGCCACCACAGCCTTGACCTACTGGGCTCTGGAGATCCTTCTGCCTCAGCCTTCCAAGTAGCTGGAACTACAGGCACGTGCTACCACGCCCGGCTAATTTTTTATTTATTGTAGAGACGAGATCTCGCCAATTTTCCTGTGTGAGTCTCGAACCCGCGGGTTCTGGCAATCTACTCACCTCGACCTCCCAAAGTGCTGGGATTACAGACTGAACCACCAAGCCCGGCATTTTTTATCTTTCTACTTTTTATTCTTTAAGTTTCTGCTCCAATTTCTGGGAAATGCTCTTAGTTTTATCTTCTAACCACCATAAGTTTTTTACTTTTACTATCCTACTTTAATTTTTTTTCTCAGAATGCTTGCTCTCCTTCTTTTTAAAAGGTAACGAGTTTTATTCAAAATTGCTTATCTTCTTTTATCTCTCTGAGGTTACCAAATAGATTTCTTGCCAGGTGTATTGGCTCACATCTGTAATCCCAGCACTTTGGGAGGCTGAAGAGAGAGAATTGCCTGAGTCCAGGAGTTCCAGACCAGCCTGGGAAATTTGGTGAGATTTCATCTCTACAAAAAAAAAAAAAAATTAACTGAGCATGGTGGCACACACCTGTAGTTCCAACTACTTGGAAGACTGAGGTAGAAGGATCGCCTGAGCCCGGCAGGTCGAGGCAGCCATGGCCATGAGTGTTCCACTGCCCTCCAGCCTGGGCAACAGAGTTTTTTTTTTTTTTTAAAGACACCAAAACTCCCCCAAAACAAACGAACAAGTTAAAAAAAAAAGATTTCCTCGCACTGTTTCCTCAAAGCTGCTTTCTGTTTATTTGTCTATCTTTTATGTGAAGGTGGAATGTCAGATCATATGGTCCTGAGACAGGAGTCTTCGACGGAGTAGAAATCACAGCATAGCTGAGGGAAAAGGAAGTGAGGGGGTGAGAGGGAAGGATCCAAGATAACTTCCAGACTGGACTTGAGCTTGAGAAGGGGTGCTGTTGTCACAGTAATACGGAGAATGGGAAAGGAAGCATTGTCCTGGGTGTGTAGGACACACATTT